GTCTTGACCGACCCTCATGCCCGGGAGGGGGAGAGAGAGAGAGAGAGAGAGAGAGAGAGAGTGCGAGAGAGAGAGAGAGAGAGAGCGAGAGAGAGAGAGAGAGAGAGAGAGAAAGACAGACCGTTATCGTATACTTTATGGCATCAGCCCTTGATGTAGTATACTTATTATACTCGTTCTTCACACCCCTCCTCCTGCATAAGACATGCGGATGGGCTTGAAGCCCGGGGGTCTTGGTCGACCCCGTCTATGTTTTGCCTGCTTCGTCTGTCGAGGACACAATCTCCAGGGCCAGGGGTTTCCTATCAGACCCGAATTTAGATCGCTCTGGCTGACTTCGACCTCCAATGAACCTCTTGAAGCACAGCAGCAATCAGAATCATCAAGCCGTTCGTCATTGCCCTGCCTTCCATCTGTGACAACAGCAAGGTCGAGAAGCTGCGAACCGAAGCAGCTCGGAAGGCCGAAGCAGAGGTGCGCCTAGGGTCAGCGGCAGTGGCGGCCACTTTAGTTCGGGGCCTTTGGGAACAGATCCTCGACCCAGTGGGGATTTGACGGTTGCCAGTCCAGCTTCCAATAAGGATTAGATGAGTGGCAGCATGTAATCGCAGTCACAATGCTAGGCTTGGGGTGGGTTGCAAGAACAATCACGATGAGTACTTCCACTTTTAACAGCTTCAATGCACTTGTGATTGGGCCAGGGCTGACCGAGGTAAAATGCTCCTGACTTCAAGCCCATGCAAGAGTAGACTGTACTGCAGGTGTTTAGGGTTTAGGGGCACTTCAGAATTGTATCGTGACCGCCGGGCCGACTCTGGTCGCGAGGTTTTGGAGGACATGTGCATTGCACGCTGAGCTCTGTCTCGCGGCATGACAGGACAGCGACGGCCCACATGGCGACAAGGCGCCTGTGCTGCTGATGCTGCCACCACGGAGTCTAATGGAATTCGACTAGTCTTACACCCTACAGGCTATGGGATTTCAAGTAGCCCAAGTATCGGCACAAAACGACAGGACGTGTGTGGAATCCTGATGTGATAGCCATTTACCATCCGAAACTCAAGGTGCAAAAGCCAGACGCTGCGGCTCGAAGGAAAGGTGTGTGCTTCTCAGAACGTGCACGTAGGGCCGACGTAGGGTTCCGATACCAAAGCAAGCCAAGAGTCATCTGGCACGTTGATATTGTCACGACGACGATGAAAACTACTGAAAATATCGATTACTGTCGTCCCTCGCACTTTCTCATTCCACCCTCTCCTCATTTAGGATTTATTAAAACATGTCACCCAACGCTCGATCCAACTGATCAGTTTCTGTTAGGCTTTTAAGATCCGTTCTATAGCCAGCCCCAAAGTCCTTGATACAGTGCGGGGGCCTAATAAGTAACGACGAATACTATATAAGGGGTTCCTTAATCTAAGTATAGTATAATGGGCCCCAAAACCCTATGCCAATTATTACGGCCCCTATCGTAACCAGCCCCAAAGTTCCCAAACAAAACCCAGCCCCAAAGTCCAAAGCACAGCCCCGAAGTCGGAGCCCCCTTCGATTTCCCCTACTAGGTGGCAATGTGGGAAACTTCGAAATTTCCCGTATGGTTCTTATAAAGGTACCTATTCATAAATACTCTTCAGGGCCCCCAAACCGCTACCCGGCCTCGCAAAACGCAGCGAAAAAGATCCCGTGGCCGAGGCAGAAGGGCGCACTTCCAAAGATTCGAGGAATCCCGGGCTCCGGTCCATGGCTTTGGGAATAGAGGGGCCTTAACAATTACCTATACTGTTTCTGGGGGTTCCTTTATTTTTTCATTTATAAGATACTATGCACCAAAACCCTATTCTAATCATGAAGGCCCCTACATTAGGTACTGGAGCTTCGTTCAGCTTTTCCGGCTCGGCGTTGGCATGAGAGCTGTAGGGTTTTGCCGGTCTCGTTGGTGCGGTTCGGTGTCGATTTGGTGCTCGCACTGCGCGTATGAAGGTGTGTTTGCGTGCCTATGTTTGTTTGTTTGTTTGGTAGTCGCTCTCTTTGTGTGAGTGCGCGTTTGTGCTTCTGTCCGGATGTGGGCGAGTGCACCTGCATGCGTGCGAGTGCATCAGTAAATACTGTATGTAGTCGTATTTGTCTGCTACCGAGAGCTCCAGCATAATGGCTTTTTAGATTCAATTTCAGAGTGGATTTCGCCATGGCATAGGCTCAGCCTTGATGTGCACATTTGTTTCTTGGTTTTTGGGTGGTGTATCGTTCGAGGCAGGTTGTCAAGATTTATGCGGCCGCACCATTCGCTGCTTCACGGTTTCGAAGCGAGTCTCAGGGCCATGCTCACTTTGGATGTCCCAAGCCTGACCCTAGACGCTATATAATTCGTCTGCCGGAAGCAGTGCTGCGCCGCTTTTGCAGGAATGGCGGCTTCAGTGGGGTAATGCCGGACCCGAAGGCAGGCATGTCAGCCTTTCGTCTGGTTCAGCCAAGATAGTTGGTCTACGGTGGTATACGGTGAGACTAGTACAAGTGAGACTTGTGGACAGCATTTGCGGAGCTCTGCGCTGGCTTGTGCATTCGGGGCCTGGATGGTTTGAGCACATTTGCTTGTTAGCAAGACTGTAGGAGGAGGTTGTTTGATAAGGGCATTGCGAAGGCTCAGGTTGCATGTTCCATTCTGCAGATGTTGATGTTATGTGGTTTTTATGTATGTATGTATGCATGTATGTATGTATGTATGTATGTAGGTATATCTCTCTATATATATACACATCATATATATATATATATATATATATAATATGGTAATTTATACAAATGCTTTGGTCAGAGCGATGCCAGGCCGCGAAGCTCCCCGGTGCCGTTGACTGACGTGCGAGTTTCTCGAATCTCTAGGTCCCTCTTTTGGGGTGGTCCCTCCCTCATACATAGAACTTTGCAATGAGTCTACATTTGAAATTTGGGGACCTGCAGTGCCCGGCATTTTGAGAAATGTGCTTTGGCCGCAGATTGCTTTTAAGCAGGTTTCACTCTACAATATCTTGTCTTTCAAGTGCCTGCTGCGCAGGTTATTAATCAGACCCACGAACGAACCGAATCAGAGGCCAAATTGCGGGGCGTCAAGACCCACGCAAACAATAGCACTCACACCTGCACGTCAGGTGTTCGTGCAGGTGGTACAACAGTCGTCGTCATGTATTGGTGCAACATCCGAAAGTTGTGACTCCCGATGATTCGATTATCAGAGTATACACCCGATGATGAATGCTTCCGCACACGTAGGAAGCTTCAGGTGGAGGCATTTCAGATGATGGTTGTTTCAACTCGTTCTTTCGCGAATGGCACCCCGTGTTTAGCTGAGGACAGTTTTTGCTACAACTCACGCTTGTTGTGTGCAGACGCGTGTATCCTGCGTGTTGGAAATCATCATGATCTCTTGAAATCTCTTCTCTGGTCCTTGTTGCAAATCGTTTCGTACGACTCCTGTTCTTGGCTCGGGGTTGTGGACAACCCGAGCGGCCCTCAATCTGGACAGAGGGTTCGTGTGGTGTTAGTTGAGCAGTAGGTACAGTGCCAGTGGTGGTATGCATTGTGTTTTCACTTAGTAAGGGGTTCAAGATCTAGTTCGGGGCGTGCTGTAAAGACACAGCTTCGTGTTTGAAATACTTCGGTGAAGTGTGAATTGCCTCCACCAGCAGTGGCTCTGACACAGGTGTCCAGCAAATGCAGGCTGACAAATCTCACGCAAGTATCCAGTCCGGCCAGTTTGTGCTGACACGGACGATGATCTGCATTTGTGGCCGCTCGTGTCTAGCAGTGGTGCGTCGAGCACCAAACCATGTACGCTTATATGCGTGCTGCACCCAGGTGGGTGGGGCTAGCTACAACGTAATGTTGTTGCAACTTCTTGTTGTCTGTGCGCCCAGAATGCTTTGCAACAATGTCGTTACAAGCCGCGACACTGTATAAATTGAGGCAGACACATTTGATCATTATTACTTTTGAGCCCAACTCGAACTACTCCCGCAGTTCCCGTTGCTCCACCCCTTGTGATCCCGTTGCAGTGGAACAGTGCCGGAGTTGGAATTCGACTCCAAACGACTGTTCGACAATGCTCTCAGGGACATCTCGACAGCAAGGTCGTGCTTTAAAAAGGTATCGCCTTCACTCTGTATGTAGTTACACGGTAATACACCCCGAAACCCTGCGAGTATCCCGATCTGCCCTCCGTAACCCTTTTAAACCCGAAACCCCGAAACCTTGAATGTCAGCAGCAAACAAACCCTAAACCCTAGCACCCTTCAGCGTCCTCTTGAGCAAGAAGGGGTGTTAGAATCAGAAGTACTGTCACGGTAGTATGAACGGAGGTGGACATGTTGGAGCAGCGTGCCGCCGAGAGAGAGCGGGCGTTGCAGCAGGAGGCGCGTTCAGGGAGCCGTCGTTAATGCAGAAGCCGGAACATTAAGTGATTGGGGTTCTTGAACTTTTGGTCATACTGTAAAGCCTTAGTTACAAGGGCTTCGGGCTTAACGCAGGGTTTCAGATTGGTTATTCGCATTGGAGAGTTCGCTATGCCAGCAGAGCAACCCGGCAGAGTGAACAGCATCCCAAATTCCTGGTCGAGTTCATGTCCCTACGTTGCACTCAACTTAGAGGCTATTCTTCCCAACTTTCTCTGTGGAATTTTTGCGGCACGGAGGCTCTTGAGCATGCTGTGCAGGAGAGCTTAAGCGCCTCAAGAGCCACATTGGAGCTCTGAGCTTGCCCCCGGCAGTCGTGAATTGAAAACATAATATAATATAATGTAATATAACATAATAATACATAATATAATATAATATACTATAGTAATATACTGATATAATATAATATAATATAATAGAATAGAATATAGCTTTCATAGTGAGGGCTAAGGCTTCGGCGTGAGGCGAGCATGGGGGCATGTGCACTGCAGCCCCTCCTGAAAAAAAGCTTCGATTATGCCTATAGTTATATGATTGCGATTTCTACTGTTGCTACTCTTGTTACTAGTATAGTGTTTTTCGACTTTCAGGTGGAGAGCCTGAAAAAGCAGAAGGACAGCCAGGCCTTGCTGCTCATGGTTCCGGTCAGATACATTGTAGTAGATGGTCGATGAATCTAGGGCCGTGCTAACTCGACTGAGAACAGTGTCTTACAGTACTACAGGGCCTGGATATGTCGAATTAGAATAGGACTCGAGATATAGCATTGTAGATGAATATGGAGCCTTGGTCTTGGTGGTTCGAGTTAGAATGGGGTCTTGAGATGTATCACAGCAGAGCTTGTCTTGGGACATGGGAAGGCTCCCCGAAGTATCCAGTGGGACGTAGAGACTAAGTATGACACATCGTCGTAAAACCGACCATCATCAGGGACATGAGGCCAAAGAAGCCCAGAAGCCAATGCCTAAAGTGGAAAAGGTGACGTCTCTGCGATCGCAGCTGGACTTCCAAACTTCAGAAGTTCGACATACAGCAGAACAAGAGGCCATGCTGCGCTGTGCGTTGCAACATATGTATTCCCGTAAAGTTATCATGTAGTTCTGAATGCCTGTGTTTGCATAGGTTTTCTGAGTGCAGTGCACACATGCACCCACACACACACACACACACACGCGCAGACGCACATCCGTTCGTCCGTTCGTTTCGGCATGCATGCAGCCATCGATCCATACATGCCTACATACACACAGACATACATACATACATACATGCATGCATGCATGCATGCATACATACATACCTCTAGTCATTCACGTACGTGTCCCCACTCAGGGCTCTCGCATGGCATAAGACAGAGATCCTAAGCCTGATACATCAAAGCCTAAGCCTTAGAGCCCAGATGGCAAATACGCTGTAGCATAGGATCCTCTTTGTGCTTAGTGATCGAAGCAGGATCAAGCAGCCATGAGCAGACCTCGGATGTGACACCCCACAGGCCTTGAAGCCACCCCAAGACCTATCGGACAAGCGAGTGCGGCTGCGAGGTGGCGCTGATGAAGCAAGAGTTCGAGCGCCGGGAACGGTCCCTCGTGCAGATGCTTGAGCAGGTCGGACGGCGATTCTTGCGGCTCTCTTCTGATACTGGCTGCCATCCATGTAGCATGACCTGTCTTTGGGGGTTTGGAGTAAACTCATAGGCCTCGCTGATCCTCGCAGGCCCGTCTTGGGCAGGAAGAGGAGCAAAGAACGGCAGACATGCAGATGGCCCGAAGCCCAGTACTGATGCCAAGCACAGCTGACGGTTGAGGTTGAGGCCTGGATACTGAACAATTTCGAAGCTGTGTGGGTGCTCTGGCGCCCAAGCTAGCTGTTTCGAGGTGGTTCTTGTCTCTTCATGCGAATGGCATGTGCCATGGGCGCAATCGAAAGCCCCAACCCTCAAGGCCTTATGAACCTGATTGAGGAGCTACAACGACATCCCTCATTGAAATTCATTGAAGACATGCAACAATAAAGCAGAGACCTAAGCATGAAGGTATGCAAGTAAGGAATGCAAGGATGCATGCATGCACGCAGGCCTTCATGCATGGATGGACGGATGGATTGATGTGTGCATGTATATACACATGCATGTGTGGATGTATGCGTGCAGGTAGGTCCGCATGAATCTGTATGTGCGTAAGCGCATGGGCAAGCATGTGCATGCATCTATGTGTGTATGTATGGCATTTCATGACGATGTACGTACATACGTACGAGTGTTTGGATGTATGTACGTCTGTATGTATCTGGAAGTGTGTATGTATGCAGGTAGGTAGGTAGGTCGGTCGATAGGTAGGTAGGTAGGTAGGTAGGTAGGTAGGTAGGTAGGTGTGCGTGCGAGTGCGTGCAAGCATGTGTATGTAAGTCAGGAAGCATGTATGTATGGATGTTTACGTGTGTAGGTGTAGGTGTACGTGTATATCTATATGCACATGTGCATGTGTATGCATATATGCATGCATGTATGTTCATGTATGCATATGTATGTGCATGTGGGCGAATGCGTGTGTATGGAATGTATAGCAACTTATGTGCATCTTACGCAACGATGTAGGCTACGTGTGTGTGTGTGTATGCGTGCCCAAGTATATATGCATGTATGTGTGTGTGTGTGTGGAAATCCTG